AGTGATTCAAGTTGAGTCGATTCATAGTAATGTATGGACTCAAGTTGAGTCGATTCATTATAATATAGTGACTCAAGTTGAGTCGATTTATTGTAATGTAGTGACTCAAGTTGAGTCGATTCATTATAATATAGTGACTCAAGTTGAGTCAATTCAGTGTAATGTAGTGACTCAAGTTGAGTCAAGTCATTGTAATGTAGAGACGCAAGTTGAGTCGATTCATTGTAATGTAGTGACTCAAGTTGAGTTGAGTCATTGTAATGAAGTGAATCAAGTCGAGCTGGGTCATTGTAACAGTGACTCCATCCAAACGGTTAACATGTCGAGTCAAGTTGAATTCAACTAAAGGTCACAAATATTTGAGCACAATGTGATGAATAAAAACAAGAGAGAAAGTGATTACGTGTGGGTTTAAGGGGTTACTACCAGTACATGTGGTCAGGCCATACATGAACCTTGTAACTCTTAATGATAATGACATGAACATTATGAACCAGCATTGTAAGCCATAGCAAATATTTTTATTTTTAGGAGTCTAACCTTATAACGGAGCTATTAATTTAAATAAATTACCAAAAATTCTGCCATTTGCATGTACATGTACTTCTAGGACTACAAGCAGGAGTCTGCAATGGGGCTTAAACAGTGGGAAAACGACTGCATCACAACAATTTTTCTGAATATCAGTCCTCCAAATAAAGAGACAATTTAACTTTAAGGACTGTCTCCGAGTGTGCACCTCCACTGCTACTACTCGCATGACTCGAGTCGAGTCACCAAAAAGTGTGACTCTGAACATCAGTGGCATAGGGCCCCCCACGAATTCCCGGTATCCCCCAGGTGCCCCCACTCAAAAAATGGGATGAATGGATTGTTAAACTTGTCCCCCAAAACCACACCACTGAAGCTGGTGCCCCCTTCAATTAATTTGTGCCCCAACTCTGGGCAAAGTTGAAATCCTAGATCCTTCTCCATGATCCTAGCTACGCCCCTGCTGAATATCCATTTGGAAACAACACATCATTTATGTGTTCACTTTCCAGTAAATAAAACCCAGAATTTACCTTCGGTACTCTATATTGCTCAATATGCTGAAGTTCCGGCTCTGTCATTTTCAGGTTACTTCAGAATTTTAAACCTAGTACAATAGTACTACTAGTACTAGTAGTATGACTTTAAGAGGAACGACCCACAGCCTGGACCACACCGTCTTATCTTGTGACCACACTGCAGCTGCTAATAATAAGCGCCCTCACGAGGCGGACAGGTAACACTGATATCTATAGAGATCAGTGGCAGGTAACCACGAGGAAGCTTGCTCCACTGCAACTTAAAAAAACACGTGGTTGCATAACCGTGACTGTTTCTTACTCCTTACGAGATTATTCTGACTGACAATTTGACATGCAGATTGAAACAATTCCATGCATTAAAATATGAGCGATGCACATTCATAGTCTCAACACAGAAGTCAAAGACCATGGAATTCGTTTGTACCTTCATGCTCACTGAACAAGCCAATTGAAAACATGGTGAAATTTCTGAAAACAGGTTGATCAGGAAAATGTTTCGTTTTTGTTTGAATGTCGAAGTAAAACTTGGTTCAGACCTCTCAAAACTGCATAATTTAGCCACATGTAGCTTTTGTAACATAAACCGAAAATACCAAATTAAAAACAAAAGCACACACACAAATACAAAAAATGAAAACAAGAAGTAAGAAGAAACCCGACACGAAAACCCAGCACATTTTATTTTGACAATGAATATTTTTGCTAAAAAACTTCAACAGAGCTACGCAATGGCTCTTTAATTTGCTCATATACGGGTGTTAAATACATCAGATGCTTCTGCAACTCCTGGTCATAGTAACTAAATATAGACAACCTCCAATACAATTTATGACACAATACAACTTCTGTGATTATGCAATCCAAATATATTTATTTCATATACAAATAAATTCACCATGGTTATTAACATACATATTTCTTCCCCTTACATAATCAGTGGTAAGTACCAACAGTTTGAAATGGTTGGGAAAGTTTAGGGTCAGTCATAACCTTTAACATTCACAAACATAATGAAATGGATAATACAATTTTGAAAGCCAAAATGAAATCCTGTTACTTTCAGGAGAGAAAATTCAAAGATTTCTCACATTAAAAAATGTCTTGAACACTGAAACTTGAAAACAGAGAACTGGTTGTGTAACTGAGAATGCTTTGTAAGTTTCCTCTTGAGATTACACTAATTTGTCCACAATAATACCAGGCAATGTTGATTTTGCTGAAGAAAGGCATCCAAAACAGCCATCCCTGATTCTGAAGGTGGTTCCATTTGTATACAATGCACGACTAGTTTGAGTTTCTGTCTTTATAATTAACCCTAACAGTCCTCAATCCTTCACCTGTTGGAGGACTGAGGACTGTTAGGGTTAAACATACAAGACAGCAAACAATATGATGGGAAATATGTGAAGGATTGGCAGGGAGTGTCATTTCTACAAACTTGGGATACTGTAGGTGATGAGAATGGATCATAGGGCTTTACACAGTTCAATCCTTGTGTTCGACTAATTAATGTGCATGGGCAATGTGCTGGGTATGATCTTCACTCAGGGGTACTGATTGGAATTAATGTATATTCTTCCATATTCACAGGTTTTATTTTCAACTTACCCCTCCCCTCCCCCAAAAAACCACAACATCAAATCACTACTTTCAAACTGAAGGAATTTATGTTGATTCATTATGATACATACATTTCCTGTTTACATTTTTTTATTTGAAAGCAAATCAGTATTTTCTACAAAAAGAAATGTTTCAATGACTCCAATGACACAAGGGCTGATATTCGCTATTGCAAGGCAGTCTTATTCAAATACCCAATAATGATTTTGTTTCCAAAACCTTGCAAAGAATAAAAACCACTGAGAGAGGATGAATGTTGATATGACTAAATAAGGCTTGCTTTATGTGGATTGTATTAAAATTGTCATAGTTCCAAAGTTACACGAACACAAAACAAATTACAACGGTAAATCTAACAGTACTTTGCAATGAAGAAAAATTTGCTAAATATTTTCTTTAACATGTATCTGGCATAATCTTTTAACTTTCATAAAATTTTCTGCATCAAGTATTGACATCTATACACAGTCATGATGATAACACCAGAATTTGCCTAGGACCAATGCCCAACGTATGAAGGCCTGAAGACAACGGAAGTAATAATCACAACTTAGAAGCACTAACTCTCCCACAGGCAATACCTAAATGCAAATGCCCGAGTGTTAGAAGAATGCAGAAGAGCATGGCGAGTCAATTCTCTTCTCTTAACCCCAGGATCGACTGGGTGTCAGAAAAAAACTAGAATATACAATTTTGAACCATGACTTCACGAGATGTACACTGCACAGTTTCCATTGGGATTTGGATTGCATCCAAATCGAGTAGTTTTTAGCCAGAGTGTCTTTTTCCCATCGGTGCGCTGCAGAAAACAGACATGCCTTTTGGGACACAGTCTCAAACTCAGTGTAAGAGTCATGCAAAGATGAGAACCAATGCCTCAGCATGGAGATGTAAAGTGCTGCTACCTGTCCCTTATTGTAATGTGTCATTTCTTCTTGGTCTTAGACTTGGTTTTCTGTAGGTTAGGAGCAGACACCTTTACTTTTCCTGGTAAGTTCCTGGACAGGTCAGTATCCTGCAAGTCCAAGAAAAATCTGGTTGAACCTTTTGGTGAGAAAACATGGTCTATCATACGAAGCACGATTTGGAATTCTCCATAAACCTAAACATGAGTTTTGTGAACAATGAGGCAAATATAAAAACAAGACAGGAACGTGGCATGCAAAAACAAACTTCCATTCAAAAATTAAAAGGAATTTACCACAGGAGAGAACTTTTAGCTAGCAATGACATTCCAGTTCTGAGATAGTTGCAGTTGTTTATAACTAGTTTTGATTGCCTCTGAGAGCCAAATCTGCTGTGCTTTATTTTCTTAATGCCAAACTGAGTGGAAAATGCAGGCCTGTTGCCAGCCTCAGGTATTCTTGTGGAATAGTACATTTCAATCAAGGCAGCCGTTGTGCAGCACTTTTTGTGTAAGACTTTTTGAATGATGAAAAAGGTAAAAATAGTAAATACCATGTAATGTGCTGTTGGCCAATCAAGATTCGGAATCAAGGAAGATGTGTTATAATAATGAATGGTAGGTACTTAGCCGGAAAGTGATTGGGCAGAGAGAATTCTCAATGGAAATTAAAGAGGTCTCTGAGGGTTGCAAGGTTACCTTGACACTCTTGAATAGATCCTTTTCTCGACTGGTTGTTTCCTTGGAGAATTGAAACATGTTCAAGGCAGTCTTTGCCGCTAAAAGGCAAATTAAACACAAAAAGTAATAGGCATCAACTCAACTGACGTCACTGGAAGATTATTTATTCCTCAATGCATGCACACAAAAGAATAACCGTGACGTATTCAATCAAGAACTTGTTTATATCCTTTCTGCTCAAAATTCTTTATATATTCCATATGTACGGTTAACAGTTTAATAGTTTTTACGTAGGTAAGAGAAGAACTTTGAAGTAATCAAAGTGTTGATGTAAAAACAAAGTCCCAGAAAGGTACTTTCAATAAAACCTTCCACAGTAGTCATAGAGAAACTTAAAAGAAAAAGTCATTTAAAAAAATTGCTCTTTTGTGATTGGTTTGATAACTACCTTTGCCTCTCTTTCCTGATCCTGGAGTCAACTTCACCTTGAATCTAATTTAGAATAACAAAAGAGGAGTTTTCAATTTAGGACTCCAGAACACATTTCACAGTAAAAACAATCACACAATTGTATCACTGATTGCTACTGGTGATGGTAAGAGAGAATTTTATTCACAATTAGTTTAAATCACTTTGCCATCATACTTTGAAGTTCCAAACTGTTATCTTTGGATCCAAATCTTTACCACAAAACAGCATGGCAGGCCCTAATAAGTTTCCCTTCCAAGTACACACATAGGGTTTGCAGACAGGGCACAAGACCTTCAAGACCATGCCAAATACTGGGATATTTGAATGATTATTGGACATCTAAATACTCTCATCATTCAAATATCGGGAAGTGAAAATCAGTTGAATAAAAACACAGAGGCTAACTTCAGGAGGGCAACTTCAGAGTTGTGGGGACAGTATTTTTGGTCCCCATAAGTTGTATACGGGTAATTCCAGAAATTAGGGGTCCAAAAATGTGACTTTTTGGTGTTCCTGTTACATCTGACCTTTGTTATTTGACATGGAAATCACCGGAACTGATTTCAAACGATTACTGTTTGTTTTTCAGGTAATAAGCATTAATTCACCACTCTTGGAAATTAGAAAATGTGTTCTGAATTTACAACATCATATATCAGATGTGACAGGGACACGAAAAAAAAAAGGACCCCTAATTTCTGGAATTACCCACATTTCAACATGTGTGTTGTCCCCATGACCTCTTAACAAGTATGTGCATGCATAAGAGGGGGCCTCTAGTGGAACTCAGTATGCAGTGCTTTAAAATTCTACTACTGCAGGTTGAACATTTATAACAACCCTTTACGAAATTGTTAATTTTTTTGTTTATTTTTTTTTATGGAAAACTTTTTACTTTCTCAATCTAATGAAACATACTAAATGCATGATTGTGACTGAGCTTACTTGTAGTTGTGCATTACAGAGTAAGGTGCACAAACTGGAAGACCAAATAGTAACCCATCCTCAGTATGAGGACAACCGGTTAATGAGTCCAAAATGCTTGAGCTCTCCTGTTCAAATGAAAGAAAAGTCCTGTGATAACAATTTCAACTTTTTATGTAACTGAATAATTTCACGATCAGTATCAATGTAAATGAATAATCACAGCTTTGCATCAAATCTTTTACATGAGCTCATTTTTGTGTTTAAGCATACTGGTAGCACAAACAGTAAGTTGAGCAGAAATTATCTATTTTAAGGATAAGGGAATAAATATTTGCTTGGATGATCTTAAATGTGCATTTAAGACCGGCTCAGGGGAATGGACGTTACTCTTCGCCTACGGCTTGGGCATTATTAGCATTTATTCTCTTGAGCTAACTCACCAAGCGCATCTTTATTCCATTCATACATACCGATTTAGTTAGAGAGTCAAAAGAAGTCAAATATACGATAATTTCCAAGGATTCGGTTCAAGAATTTTACTGTCATTTTCCCAAACATCCCGGTAAATTTTATGGTATATTCATTGTAGTCCAGACAAATCTCCTTATATGGACTTGGCACGTGTGTGGCAAGTTCTGCGTGCATGGTGCACACAGACTGTTGACCAATGGCGAGGATTAAACTGACTCATATCTAGGTGCCAGTGTTTTTTATGAAGCATGCATTATTAAATCGCAGCGGGCATTATCCAAAATTAATACATGGTCACATTGCGGGTTGTTAAATAGGGAAAATGTCTAATAATGGTTTATAAATGCAACCCAATGAAAATATTCTTTCCACTGTGCGAATGTGAAGCGTCTTTTGTTTCTACAAATGCCTGAAAACTCCTCTCTGTGTACAAATTACCCTTTCACTTTCTTAACCAAGCGTAAAAGTGTGACAAAAGGTTTTCACATTATGAGCTGCAACTGAAATTTTTCAGATGAGCTGTGACCTTGCCTACCACGTGTACATATGCAGTTCAAGGCTAAATTTAACAGGGCACATTCAGCAGTCACAAATTCGAAAAGAAACCAGTAAGTAAATGATTGATGATCAACCAATCAGACGACAGGGATATAATCAGGTGCTGTATAAATGAGTTACTAAGATGTACAAGAAAAATCTGACTGGTATCCCACCTTCATGAGTTGAGAATGTTCATCTTTGAGTGATGCCTCCTGGTCTTCATCTGACAGCTGCATCAGGAATGCAAATTAAACAAGTTTGATGATGCAGTGAAGAAGATAAATAACATTTAGGAAAAAGTAGAATCTTTGAAATAATGTTAATTTGTGTGTTCAATGCAGTATGATAGCACAAAAAATAATCAATCTTAAAGTCACACTTAAATCAAATGTGAGAAATGTTATTTCACAAGCAAAAAACAATCACCACACCAACAAAAACACACAAAGCAACACGAAACGCCGAACACTAAAAGCTAAATGCCATGCCAACACCATGTACATTATTATGTACTAACCCATTTCCTAAAAACCATTTCAAACGGGTAACGCTCACTGACAGTCCAGATGTTCTTTCTACACTCACCCCGCCTGTATCTTCATCGTGTGCTGGACCTTTCTTAGGTTTCCAAGCATGCTTGAACACAACCGGCTGTACACTGTCATCATCTGAAATCATTGACAAGATATCACCAAGTGAATCCATTCCACTGTCTTTAAACAAATTACTTACACGTATCATGAACTTATAGAAGGCCTGAAGTGTTTAGAATTTGTTTATTGGGCGAAACACTTCATTCATTCCAGTACACGGCTGCACCATGAAATGGAATGTCCATTCTGCAGGTCAAGACTGATCAACATGCTGTCCATCTGTTTGCACAATCATACTTTGTGATGCTAAAACAAGTCTCTCCACACAAAACAGGCAATGCAGAGAATTTTTTTTTAGAATTAATGTAATGCATAGAATTAATTCTGTCATTCTATGAGACAGAAAATGAGTTTTTATGAGTACAGTGTGAGAATGATTTCATTCAGTTACTGATTGAATGTACCGTTTTTTTCACCGCACAGGCCAAAACATTAATTATTTCTTCTATAAAAATGACTGAATAAATTCTCCACTGACAGAAGACAGAACAGTGTTTCTGGTTTATGGGTATCACCTAACACTTTCTCCTCATCGGAAAAACCCCAACTGTGCCCTCCAAGTGGCATGCGGGTAATATAGCATTTTTCCTTGTGGGAAGAGCTGCAAATGTGCCGTCCACAGGCAGGCCATTAAGTGTATTTAACAGGGTGAAATCAACCATTTATTATACTGAATAATTCATGACACTTGAGTGACAACCCACCAATCAGATGACGGGGATTTATTCAGGTGCTGTATAAAATGCAAGTTATGAAATGTTGCACATTCATACAATGGAGACAATAAGTTCATTTGGTCAATGATGAAATTGTTCATTCCACTCAACAACATCTCCAGGAATGGAACATTCCATTGGTCACCTCATGAAATTATTCTCATCATTGCACTTACAAACATTCAGTAGTTTCATATTATTGTAAGTTTTTCTTGTTTTCCTCCATTCTCCTTTCACTACCTTGCTCATCTGTCATGGTCACCCTTTGCATTTTCTCTTGTAGCTGTCTGTCTGTCTCCCCTGTGTGACGTCCTCCCTGCTGCTTCCCAGCCTGGTTCCTCTGTCTCTGTTTCTGTTTCATCTGTTGGTGTTTTTCCTCCAGGAGTTGTTGTTTGCGAGCCTGTTTGGCCTTTTTACCTCTCAGCTCTTTGGGTGACCCAGCAGACTGAAGTGAAACATGGTAAAAGGAATTTACAGAACTACTTACAACTTAGCAATATACATTTTTATTTCTGATGGTAATACGCATACCCTACGAGTCTATTTCAAAATCAACAACAGAGCTTATGAAGATGTCACTAATTCTGCCAGGGTCAAGTGGAAGTGAAGTGTGAACATGTAACTCATTTCTTGAATTCTTCTGGTGATGAAACAAGTGGATTATCACAAGTGGCTTTTAGCACTGTTTTGAAGACAACAGTGGCAAAAAAAATCTTGAATGTACAGTCTATTCACCACCCTGATAATGATCTGACTTTTGTGTGGTTACGATTCAACTGCATGACCGATATTCAAATCACTCCGACCCCGTGAGAGGAAATCACTTGAGTTTGCCAATAGATGGATTTTACATTAGCGCCGTCTGCGCATATCCGCATCCAAATCGAGGCTCTCTGTGTTGAACTTCGTCGCGTGCGCCCGAGGAGTCGACACAGTATATGCAGTACCCTGTTCGTAAGTGTGTAAGTTTAAACCACGCCCACAGCACAAGATACACGGCCATCGCAGGTACATTAGTTCGCGGTAAATTGACATTGTTTTTTTCTTTTGATTTCACGTGCCCAGTCATTCTGAAAGACTCTTCAACAAAAATTTGCAGCCTGAAAAGTCTGAATTTAACATACCTTTATGTATTTTGTATCTTAACTCCTTACTTTCAATCGTCTGATCGTATTAAGAATTGAAGCTAACACATACAGCCTCGTTTTCAAACGCGGAAGTGCGCAAATCGACGCTAAAAGCGTCGTATTGGGATCCCTCTCTGAAATATACTTTTGAGGGTTACTTTTATGCATGAGCACACAGCCCATATGCCATTATGCTGCCCCTAGCTAGGTTCTTCTAGACTTACAGCAAGGATCTCCATTTTCAGCCGTCTTTCCTCTTCATCTTGGTCCTTGTATTTCTGTTTGATTTTCTTCTGCTTGTTCTGGCAAGTCATAGTAACAATAAATGAGATGAATTGGATGCTGCTAATGCACATCAAATACTGCTGTTATGACCCACGACATTTCACTTCCGATATACAAGATTAATTCTATGGAGAGTTTAGGTTGGAAAAGCTAAGTTTTAATTTGAGTAACAATGCTATTCAAGGGAACCGTAAAAAGACATGTATGCTACTATTCATATCCAGTTTCTTATGAATGAACTAGCAAACTGGCCTGTGACCTGTTTGTGATTTGGCTTTCTAAAACAGAAATTAAATCTTGATAAATGTCTCCAATCCTCCATCAGGGCAGCTGACATTTTTCTCAAGGTCTCATAGCAATGTCACAATTACTCAGAGAAACAAATGGAACGTGCTCAGGCCAAGTGCATTTAAAGTTGCACTGCTTCCCTGATTTGTAAATAAATGAGGCAATAATTGTCCAGGATCAGAGAGAAAGCCCTCTACTAGTCTCCTTGAGTATGCTCACCTTCTGACCTCGCTTCAGCTGTTGAGGGGGTTGGCCTGCTGCAACCTGTCAACATTTTAAAATCGACAAATTTCTCGGACAAATTACACTTAACTAGTTATGACCAAATCTCACTGTGACACTCTAGTAAAGGAAATGTTCTGCTAAATGTACTGCCCTCAATTTGTCAGAGAATGTAAATTAGTAAGCACAGCACAGAGCAAGTGCATTTCACAGACAAACCTTAACAGAGGTAAAATACAAAATCCCACACATGCCAGTCTTCACATACATGTGTCTAGACTGTGAAATGGGTTCAACATTAAAAGATTTTTGGGAGGTCATTAGCAAAACTTAAAATCTTAAAAAGTTCAGTGAGTCTGGTCCCTAGTTAACAGATTTCACTTTTACACCAGTTACGCAGGACTTGTACCGATCAGTCAGTTGAACCAGATTGATTTCAAGACATTTAGCCCAAGTACACAATGCTTTCAAATAGTCGACACTTCCAATGAGCAAGATAATTGCTTTCATGACAGCCACTGGTTCATTACAGAGACCGAATAGTCACTAAATTAACATATCTGCCATGTTGAAAATGCCTTGTCGTTCTTCTATCAACTTGGTAGCAACACAGCAAAGTCTCTTCCAGGGAAACAAATACTGCATGATCATTCCTCTTCAAAACAAAGCTGTGAATTTCTGATATGACATGTACCTTTAGAAGTTATGGGATTTTACCAGGATCACGATTATTCAGTGTACCATTGTCCATTTCGTATATTTGTATGTTGCAACTTGTGCAACCTAAAATGTAGCGTAAGTGGAGTTGACTTCATGAAATCGATGGCAGAAAAGTTTTAACAGCACAATTCGATTCAAAGCTATTTGACATGGAAAGTCCCATGGAACAGGACATAACATGTTCCTCGGTGTGTCATGCATATTTGGCCAGTATTTTACCAGCAATGTAAACCTCATATCTTTTTGATCTCAGTAACCCTACCTCTTTCTTCTTGTCCACTTCTTGCTCTTCTGTATCTTCCCTCATCTCAGTTTCCTCGTCAATGTCCAAGCCCGGCATCCTTGGGTCATCCTCTGAAGGGACTTCTTCCATTCCTGGTTCTTGCTTCCCCTCGGCTTCTGCATCACCATCGTCCAAGTTGCCGCTTGTTTTTCTTTTCTGCTTCTTCAACTGTCTGAAAGAGTGAACACAAAATAAAATAAAACAAAACAAAACTTGTAGCCACGCCAACTCTAGCCAGTGTACAGGCTTCAATTATTGGCTACTGATCCTCATTAGCACCAGAAGACAGGACAGGACAATAATTTAGTCTCCCAGCACACAAGACTTACAAGGAATGAACTCTCTTCAGAGCTGTTCATTTTTTAATGCAGCTGATTGACCAAACAATCATGGATTTGTTACCACTGTTGGAGGACATAGCTAGTGTCTACGGCTTTTGTCACCATGCCCTTGTACATTTTTAATGTCCGAACCTTTAGGCCTTACCATAGCTTTGCGATCATGAAATTTACACTTTGACATTCTTTTTACAAACATCTTTTTCACAAAGGAGTTGAATATGAAATTTTAACATTTTCATTATTTGCACTTCGGAAGCACTATTAAGTTCAATTAAAAGCAAGTTACGGTGAAGCGTTTATTCGTTCAGATGAAGTGCACACAACACAGTTTGCTACTAAGTGTATTCCACTAGCAAACGTGGTCAGAAAATTGATGACCCATGATACAAAAGGTTGTCTCAGTTGTCAAATAATGTTAATTCCTTTGCGCTAATTTATATGTTCAAGTTCTGTTTCATGATATGTTAGGGTATTGTTATGCCTGTCAAGGTTAATAAAGGTCCAATTAATTCCGCTTAAAGTATGTTTTTCAATACGGGCAATTCACAGTAGTGCGCCACCAAGAGTTTGCAACACATTGGCCAATCATAAGGCGCGAAATTTGTCGACCCTTTCCAAATGCGCATTGGGTTGACAAATGTCGCGCATTGTGATTGGCCGACACGTTCCAACCTCTTGCAGGCACACTTTTGCGAAACGGCCGTATTGTAAAGATGTGCTACTTGTACATGTCAATAATACTTGTGTATCGGTGTCCAAGAGAACAATAGGCCAACAAGTAGAGATTCATCAAAGGACTCAGACTAGGACCTGGACTCGGGACTTGGACAGTTAGGACTTGATCTTGGACTCAGATACAGATGGTATGGACTTGGACTCCGACTCGGTCATCTTAACTACAGCACTGTTTATGTTTGTTACTCACCTTTTCTGCTTGGCTGAGAGGTACTGTTTTCCGGTCTAAGGGTGGAATATCAAAACAATATATCAGGTATGAATTACAATTGGAGCCTGCAGCACTACACAAGTATATTCCTCAATGGTCTGCCACTCTAAACAGTTGATGTATCAAATATGGGGAAAACATAATAACATCTGAGAATTGCTGAACTTTTTCAAATATCCATGGAATTCTGGATGTCATATAAGAACTTGTTGTATCAAGGGAATTTATTTGCTTCACAGGCTTCAACTTCTAGCTATGAGTACTGTATTGACATAATATTTGGTGTTGTAGTTTTGTATCTTAAATGCAATTCAAATTCAAAAACAAGAGCTTGCACAATATTTAACTTTCCAATTAAAAATCAATTGATCTATCTTATACAGTTTAAATGCATAGGAGGGTCATGATTAAGGCATGAGATTTGATGAACATATCACCTGTTTGCTGCCTTGTCTGTCAACACTAATCAATACTGGCTGGTCATCACCAAGGTAAATTTTCATCTCGGCATCCCCCTCACTAGAATGGTGGCTTCCAGCACTGAGAACACTTGACCCCCGTGACCTCTCAGGTTCTAATCTGTTGCATAAAAGAAACAGTAATAAAGCAAAAGAGTTAGGCCTAATGTTCCAGATACTTGGGTTCTGTTCAAGAATAGGCCAAGACATCAAGCTCTGTTTCACGATGTTCTGACCAACTGCAGCTGTCATTTGTGCTCAACATGCTTGCACTGAAGTCTGAGATGTGTTCATGCATTCATGAGGTGCAGAGTTGGAACACACAGTGAGACACTGGCAAAGTTGCTAAGATGTAAACTGGGTGGGGACTCCTGGCATGAAGGCACTTTGAAGCCACTTTAATTGTGTGATCTTACAGTCATTTGCCAAAGTTTAAGACCACCTGGAATTGATTGGTATTTCTGTCACTGGGCCTGCATTACATTGTCTCATTGAATGATTACCTAATATGTTTTTACAGTGGTGCATAACATCAGTGTAGTGCTATATACCCATATGAAGGAAATTTTTTTGCAAAGGCAGGTTTTGTATGACATTTTGTCTGCAAGGCAGCATGGGTAAAAAAGCCAGTCTGAGCAATCAGAAATAAAGGAGGGTACACTAAATATTAGACTGTTAACCTTTCAAATCATGGAAATGTAGTCAAGCAGCTGTTTAAGAGAGATATTAATTGGTTTCAGTTTGTTTTTTTCTTCAGGTTATTGAATTTTGTACGGGTGGCCCTGAACTTTTGCAAATGACTGTATAATCCAATGTTACATGTACGTACTTATCATTAGTAGTATCCATTACAGTCTGTAATCCTCGCAACCCTTAACAAGTTTTCTCCTCACTTTTTGGCCACATTTTGCAAATAATCCTCTGCCGAGTAAGGCAACCATTTAAAAACCATATCATGGTCTCGTGAAAGATCCTGCAAGGTTTGCAGACTTGCTCTAAGTTTTGTGCACATTAAAAGCAAACTTCCAGCAAGCCTATAGCCTCTACAAAGCCCCAATATATTCCATGTGTTGTTTGGCCATTTGGAACTGTAGACTGAATCTCTTTAAATGTGGCCTTGATGTGCCTCAGCAGAGAGTAGTTCAGAAGCCTCCACATGTCCACTGTACAAAGCTGTACAGTTCACAACAGTCTCCCACATGAGTGTGCACAATAATATTAGTGTATAATACATGTACAATGTATGTGCAGATCAAATCTGTACTTGTTTAAGCATGCACAGGCATAAAACAAATTAATTCAACAGAGCATTTTCATTCCTGGAATAACCTGTTATGCAAAAAAGTTATCATCATGTACAGAACAGCTTGCTTTCCTATTAAATTATGCTGCTTTGTACAGATTTAAGCAGATAGTTATGCTAGAAATTGCTTCAACCCAACTCAAACCAACTCGACCCGACCCAACCCGACCAAACCCAACCCAATCCAACCCAACTCAAACCAACCCAACCCAACCCAACCCAATCCAACCCAACTCAAACCAACTGAAAAGCAAAAGGAAGAAAAAAGATCCAACTACTCAAATCCGAATCTCTAAAAAGTTCTGCAATCAAACGATTAAAAAAATGTCCAAGACATATGCATGATATTGACTTACTTGGCACCCTGGACATGATGAAGCTGGATGGCAGTGTCTGGATAGGCCATATCATCATCACTAGAGAGGTGAGTCTCAACTACCTTACCCCTCTTATCTCTTTGCTCATCTTCGTCATCACTGTCATCGTCCTCCATATCCACAATGGCCATGCCTGTCAATCAAAGAGCTGGCAGTTTAAGGATCTGTTGTCAGCCATTTAAAATGAGTCTTGTATCTTTGTGTACTAGTCATCTCACCGTGGACATCTCACCATGGACAATAATGAGAC